GGCCACGCCAAAGTTAAGCGGGCGGCGACATTCCCAGACATCCGCCGATCTCTGATTTCTTCAATCCGCGGCCCCAGAGGTCCCCCGACCCCCTCCCCGGGGGTGGTTTTTCGTCCCGGCTCCCTCCTCCCCTGAAGTGGTCCAAAAGAGGTTCGGAAGATCTCCCGTCCGCCCCCGCCCTCCGCATGCTGTTCATCACACATGGGATTCCAACACAACATCTTTCTTATGCCTTTTACCATCAAGATGTCTTCCGTGTTTCAAAATGGTGTTCCCGCTGCAGCGTGGGCCTCATTCTGGGATCGGCGCGGGCCACTTTTCTGGACCCGAATCTTGTTTCATTGCAGTCCATCAGCATCATTTCCCCTCCTCCGCCTTCCCCTGGTCCTCCTGTTCCTTCCGCTCCTTCCACTCCAGTTCCTGCTGCTGGTCGTCTCGCCCCAGCGCGGGGCACTTGTCTGAATCCAAAGTGTTCTTCGTTTTTGTCGCCCCCCTCATTTTCACTCCTCTGCCTTCCCTTGGTGCTCCTTTCCGTCCCGACCCTTCGCTTAGTTCCTGCTGCTGCGGTTCGTCCTCATGCTTCTCCTCCCGCTCATCCTCCTGCTCGCCCGCCGCGTCCTCCTCCTCCCCCCGTGCACGCAGCTCCCCCTTGCTCCGATTGCGCATAGCACATATTGGTCTTTCTGTGTGAGTCGCAGGTCGGCCATGACACGCGTCCGCCGCGTCCGCGGATAGCAAAAACTCAGCGCCATGGGAAGGGATGGGAGGGAGAGATCGGATGTCAGATGAGGCGCGAGCGCGCCAAGCTTGCCTCCTCCATCTCTTCCACCATCCTCCTCCTCCTCCTCCTCCTCCTCCTCCTCCTCCTCCTCCTCCTCCTCCTCCTCCCTCCTCCCTCTCCTCCTGCTTCGCCTCCTCCTCCTCCTCCTCTTCCTCCTCCTTACTCCTCCTCCTCCTCCTCCTCCTCCTCCTCCTCCTCCTCCTCCTCATCCTCGTCCTCCTTCTCCTCATCCCTCCTACTCATCATCCTTCTTATCATCCTCCCTCCGCGTTATCCTCCTTGCTTCATCTCCTCCTCCTACTCCGCGTCTTCCTCGTCCTTTTCCTTCACTCTCCACCTCCTCCCTCCACCTCCTGCGGCCCTCGTCCTCCTGCTGAGTGCCTGAATGCCTGAAGGCAGACAAGTCTTACTGACGCTGCCCTCCTCTTCGTGTCCTCTTCCCTCTCCTCTTCCTCCTCCACCTCCTCCTCCTCCTCCTCCTCCTCCTCCTCCTCCTCCTCGTCCTCCTCCTCCTTTTCCTCCTCCTTGTCCTCCTCCTTTTCCTCCTCCTCATCCTCCTCCTCATCATCATCATCATCACCACCACCATCACCCTCATCCTCATCCTCATCCTCATCACCAGCATCCTCATGATCATCATCATCATCATCATCATCATCATCATCAGCATCATCATCATCATCATCAGCAGCATCAGCATCAGCATCAGCAGCAGCAGCATTATGATCATCATATGTATCATCATCATCAGCATCATCAGCATCATCAGCATCAGCATCAGCATCATACTCATCAGCATCAGCACCAGCATCACCACCATCGTCCGCATCAGCATCAACATCATCAGCAGCAATATCAGCATCATCATGATCATCATCATCATCATGATCATCATAATCATCCGCCTCATCATCATCATCATCATCATCATCATCATCATCATCATCGTCATCATAAGCATCAGCATCATCACTATCAGCATCAACATCAACGTCATCATCACACTCACAAGCATTACTTTCATCATCAGCATCATCATCAATATCGTCAACATCCTCATCAGCATCATCATCAGCGTCAGCATCGGCATCATCGTCATCATCATCGCCATCATCAGCAGAATCATCCGCAGCATCAGCATCATCATCAGCCTCATCAGCATCCGCATCAGCATCAGCACAATCCGCATCACCATTTCACCACCACCACCATCATCATCAGCATCATCATCCGCAGCCCCAGCATCATCGTCAGCATCACCATCACCAGTCGAACAAAAGTAGTACTGATAACACAAACTAATAATAAGGATGATGATGGCAATAATAATTAATACCACCAGCAGCAGCAGCAACATCATCAGCATCATCAGCAGCATCATCTTTGTCATCGTCATCACCATCCCAATCATCATCATCATCATCATCATCAGCATCATCATCATCATCATCATCATCATCATCATCATCATCATCATCATCATCATCATCGGTATCATCAGCATCATCAGCATCGCCATCACCATCATCAGCATCATCAGTATCAGTGTCATCAGCAGCATTATCAAAGTCGTCGTCATCATCATCATCATCATCATCAGCAGCAGCAGCATCATGATCATCAGCTTCAAGATCATCACCATCATCACACTCATAATCATTACCATCATCAACATCACTATCATCCACATCCTCATCAGCATCATCATCAGCGCCAGCCGCATCATCATCGTCATCATCAGCAGCATCAGCAGCATCAGCATCGATATCAGCATCATCAGCATCAGCATCAGCAGAATCAGCATCACCACCACCACCATCATCAGCATCATCATCCTCCACCCCAGCATCATCGTCAGCATCACCATCACCAGTCGAATCACAGTAGTACTGATAACACATATTAATAATAAGTATGATGATGGTGTCAATAATAACAGATATCATCAGCAGCATCATCAGCATCTGTATCATCACCAGCATCATCATCAGCAGCATCATCACTGGCATCGTCACCATCATCCCCATCATAATGATCACCATCATCAGCATCATCCGTATCAGCATCGGCAGCATCATCATCCTTCCTCCTCCTTCTCCTCATCCTCCTCGTGCCCTCCTATTCCTGCTGGATGCCTGAATGCCTGAAGGCAGAAAAGTCACACTGACGCTGCCCTCCTTCTTGCCATCCTGTTCCTTCATCCTCCTTATCATCCTCCTCCTCCTCCTCCTCCTCCTCCTCTTCCCTCTTCTCCTCATCTCTCTCCTTCTCCTCCTCCTCCTTCTTCTCTTCCTCCTCCTGCTCCTCCTCCTCTTGCTCCTCCTCCTCCGCCTCCTCCTCCTCCTCTTCCGATGCCTACGACGAAGACGCCAGCGGCGACCATACCGATGCCGACGCCGACGACGCGACGCCGACGACGCCGACGACAACGACGAAGGTCGGCGGCGACGGTAGCGACGCCGCCGCCGCCGACAACGACGACGACGACGACGACGACGACGACGACGACGACGACGACGACGACGACGACGACGACGACGACTGCGACGGCGGCGCAAGCGGCGACGGCAACGGCGGCTGGGAGCCCGGCTACCAGCTGCGCGCCGTCGACGAGCCCGATCACGGGCTCCCCTCGCCAGGGGCACGCGCCCCGCGCACGCCCCGACCCCCGACCCACGGGGAGGGACAACGGAGGAGCAGGAGAAAGGGAAGGAGGAGCAGGAGGGAGGAGAGGGCGGGCAGGAGGCAGGGCGACGGAGGACGGAGGGGGACAGGGGAGGAGGAGGAGGAGGAGGAGGAGGAGGAGGTGGAGGAGGGAGGGAGGGGAGGAGGAGGAGGAGGGGTGGGTAGGAGAAGGAGGCGGCGGCGCCTCCCAAAGAGTCCAAGGCGGTTCGAGAGGAGGAGGAAAGAGTAGGGAGAAGGGAGGAAGGGAGGGAGGGAGGAGGAGGGGGGGCAGGGGGAGGAGGAGGAGGAGGAGGAGGAGGAGGAGGAGGAGGAGGAGGAGGAGGAGGAGGAGGAAGCACTTACTGTGTCTCTGCGTGCCCTAGTGCCCTCGCCTCCCCCGCGCGTCCTCCTGGGGGAAATGGGCGGAGCCACCCTAGCTTCCGAAAAATACCGGTCCTCCACACAATGAACAGACGATTGGCCCCTGGAAGCCGTATGCGTATGCCCAAGGAGCGTCAGACCACTCGGGAAATGGCCGAACGCCCACAGCCGCTGGCCGCAGACTTGGAGACGGCGTGCTGCAGTCTGGCTCGTGCCACGAGCTGCAGGAGGAGCTACGCAGCCGCCCCCTGCGGCCACCGCCTTTCCAACCGAAGCCGCAGCGCGAGGAGGCCCCTCGAGGCGCGCGCTGCCGCCGCGACCCCTCCCAGAGGGACCTGCCGGATATGGGCCCTGCCGCCGCGCCCCCCTGCGAGGAAGCGGGGGCGCCCACCCTCCGAGCAGGAAGCGACCAGCTGGCTGCCACAGCCGAGGTGGCACGGCGGGGCCACGTCGCGATGATGACGGGGCTGGTCTCTGGCACCGCGCAGATCGCTCGACCTCCCGCGACCACGGCTCTCCGACATGTCTCCGATCGCCTGGGTGCCGGCCCATTCTGGGCAGCCGGCGGCGCTCACCCCTCCACGTCTGTGCCGGGGCCGCCGCCGCGTCGACGCGTGACGGGCCTGTCGCAGGCGGCCCGAATCACCCAGACTAAAGAGAGCCGGCCCCACGCAGCGCGCGCAGGAGAAGCAGCCGCACGACGACCAGCCTCGACGAGGCACGCACGACCGCACGGCCTCCTTGGAGCCTGAGGCGGCCAAGCGATCGGGGGCGTGGGGTCTTTTGTAGGAGCACGACTCGTCCTTTTTACGCCTCATCCGCGGTCATACTGGGCTCCCAACTTCGTGCTTCGCGCTGCGCGAAGCGCGAAAGGCGAATAACTTCGCGCTCTCGCGCCGCCTCCCAGGGGAGAAGAGGAGGATGAGGAATCGGAGCCGAACCGCAAAGCGCGAACAGCATCGCGCCCCCGAGGGCGCCCTTGGGTCAGGAACTTGTGAGGAGGGGCGGGGGAGGAGGAGGAGGAGGAGGAGGAGGAAGACGAAACAACATCTTAATAATACTACTACGACAAAGAGGAGGAGGCAGAGGAGAGGAGGAGGTGGAGGCGGAGGAGGAGGAGGAGCGCAGGAGGAGGAGGAGGAGGAGGTGGAGGAGGAGGAGGAGGGGGGAGGAGGAGGGAGGAGGAGGATGGGGGGGGGTGGAGGATGGTGGAGGCGGAGGAGAGAGGAGTGGGAGGAGACGACAAGGGGGGAGGATGAGGACGAGGGGGAGGAGGAGGAGGAGGAGGAGGAGGAGGCGGAGGAGGAGGAGGAGGGAGGAGGAGAGGGGAGGCAGGAGGAAGGGAGGAGGAGGAGGAGGAGGAGGAGGGCGGAGGAGAGGAGGAGGCGAAGGAGGAGGCGGTGGAGGGGGTAAGGAGAGGGGGAGGGGAGCGCGAGGGGGAGGAGGAGGAGGGGGAGAAGAAAGCAGTACCTTCAGGAAGGAAGAGGAGGAGGAGGTGGAGGAGGAGGAGGATGAAGGAGGAGGGAGGAGGAGGAGGGGGAGGAGGGGGAGGAGGAGGAGGAGGTGGAGGAGGAGGGGAGAGGTGGAGGAGGAGGTGGTGGAGGAGGAGGAGGAGGAGGATGAGGAGGAGGATGGGGGAAGGGGGAGGAGGAGGAGGGAGGAGGCTCGATCCTTGAACCTCGAAAACACGACTCTCGAGTCACGCCCGTCGATCGTCCGAGCCTGCGCTCAGCCCCTCCACGAACGGGCCCAGGGAGACCACGTCGCCGCAGAAGAAGAGCCCAGGCCTGGGCGCCCGCGGCGGCCGCGGCGCCCTCTCCTCCTCCACCTCCTCCTCCGCCTCCTTCCTCCCTCTCCCTCCTCATCCCCTCCTGCCCCCTCCTCTCCTCCTCCTCCTCCTCCTCCTCCTCCTCCTCCTCCTCCTCCTCCTCCTCCTTCTCCTATTAGTAGTATGATTATGTTGTTTCGTCTTCCTCCTCCTCCTCCTCCTCCTCGTCCTCATCCTCCGTCTCATCATTATTATTATTGCTAGTATTATTGTTATTGTTATTATTATTATCATTATTATTATTATTAGTAGTATTAGTATTAGTATTATTAGTATTAGTAGTATTATTATTATTGTTAGTACTATTATTAGTAGTATTAGTAATATTGTTATTATTAGTCTTATTATTAATATTATTAGTATTAGTCGTATTATGATTAGTATTAGTAGTAGTAGTAGTATTACTTTTATTAGTATTATTATTCTTATTCTAGTTATTATTAGTATTAGTATTATTGTTATTAGTGTTACTATTATTATTAGTATGAATAGTGTTGTTAGTATTCGTATTATTATTATGATTCTTATTCGTATTAGTACTATTATTATTTTTATTATTATTATTATTCGTATTCGTATTATTATTCTTATGTTTCTTAGTATTAGTCTTATTATTATTTGTAGTAGTATTATTATGAGTCGTGTTAGTAGTAGTAGTAGCAGCAGCAGCAGCAGCAGAAGCAGTAGTAGTAGTAGTAGTAGTAGTATGATGATGATGATGATGAGTATGTTGGTTCGTCTTCCTCCTCCTCCTCCTCATGTTCCTTGTCCTTTTCCTCCTCCTCCTCCTCCTCTTCCTCCTCCTCCTATGATGTCCTTCCTTCCCCTTCCTTCCTTCCTTCCTTCCTTTCTTCCTTCCTTCCTCCTCCGCTCTGTGCCTCTGCTCTCCGTCCGCATTGCCCATGTCGGCACGGCACACCCTACACGCGTCTCGCGCCCCCGATGGGAGATCCACCTGCGACCTCAGAGGTCGCGTTCGCAGGCTGCCCCCTCCGCCCCGTTCGGCACACCCCTCACACATGTTCTGCCCCCAGAAGGAGCTCCACCAGCAGCCCCACCCCGTGGGCGCGTTCGCATGCTACCTCTTCCGCCCATCCCGGAACACGCCCTGGACTTGTTTCATGGCACGGTTCCAGTTACGGTCCCAGGTGGGCGCGTGCACATGCCGCCCCCCTCCCTCCTCCTTCTCCTGCTCCTCATCCTCCTCCTCCTCCTCCTCCTCCTCCTCCTCCTCCTGCTCCTCCTCCTCCTTCTCCTCCTCCTTTTTCTTTCACATCCTTACTGTGCTCACCTTCTCTCCTCCTCCTGCTCCTCCTCCTCCTGCTCCTCCTCCTCCTCCTCCTCCATTCCTCCCTCCTCCATTCCTCCCTCCTCCATTCCTCCTCCTCCATTCCTCCTGCTCCTCCTCCTCTTCCTCCTCCTCCTCCTCCTCCTCCTCCTCCTCCTCCTCCTCCTCCTCCTCCTGGCGACCGCGACCGCGGGTGCTGCGATCGGCGTGCTGCTCGGCCCGTCGCCGTCGTCGTCGGCAATCGCTGGCCCTCGATCGTCGGTCGGCGGTCGTCGTTCGTGCCAGTCGCTGGTGGCCATCGTCGATCAGTGGTCGCTTGTCGTCGACCGCCGATCGTCGGTCACCTATCGTCGATCGTCTGTCGTCGGTCGTTCGTCGTCGAACGTCGAACGGCGGGTCGTCGTCGTCGTCGATCGTCGGTAAGGGGGTCGGCGCTTGGCGCCCGGCGGTCGGCGGTCGTCGGTCGTCGGTCGTCCGCCGTCGACCGCCGTCGTCGTCGTTGTCGGCATCGTCGTCGTCGACGTCGTCGTGCGTGTGCCGCTGGTCGATCGTCGATGGTCGGTCGTCGGTCGTCGGCCGTCGATTGGTCGATCGGCGGTAATCGTCGTCGTCGTGGTCGTCACAGTCCGTCGTCGTGGTGGTGATAATTGATGGTATCGTTGGGGGATCGAAGTTCGAGGATCTAGTAGGCCTGGGCGCGTGTCGACGTTTTTGGGGCATCCGGGAGGCACCTCGTCGTAGCGACTGGATTCGCCTCCCGATGCTGGCTGCAATTCACCTGTTGACCGGTCGGGGGCGAGCTGTCTGACCACCGAGCCCTCTCTTCCTGCCCCCCTGCGCCCAATATTCCCCGAGCCCCCTCTCCCCCCGAGCCCCCCCTCGTCCTCCCCCCCCCCTCCCC